AAATACCAGTTCATATAATCTTGAGGAGTGGTAGCCAGCTTGTCAAAGGGCTGGAACATGTCTTTTGTTGTTCTTGTGCTTTTATAACCCTTTATTTAGGTGTTAATATTCTGCTGCATAACTTTCTTTCATGTGATATTAAAGAATTCAGGACTTGAATTTTTTGTTGTTGTTGTTTTCTGTGACTCCATCTAGCAAAACTGTGCTAAGAAAATTCCCCCAAGATTCACTTGGTATTGATTTGTTCTTCATGCCATCCCTAGCTCCCCGAATGCAGTAATACAACAGAGCAGAGGGTGGGGAACTCCCCGAATGCAGTAATATAACAGAGCAGACGGTGGGGAACTTTTTCTGTAAAGGAACAGTTACTAATTGTTTCAGGCTTTGCAGGTCACATAGTTTCTGTCCAAAATTATTCAACTTGGTGCGATAGTCAAATAAGCATGAGGCTGTGTTCTGATAAAGCTTTATTTGAAACAGGAAGTAGAGCAGATTCCAACCTTTGAGCCTTAGTGTGCCAACCCCCGCATTAAAGGCACACACTTCCTGGTTTACTTCTGATTTTCCAAGTGACAAGGCCCCAGTCACTTCACCCCTCCCATGTATTTCTGCCCCTTACTTTGAACTCAGGAAGGTGAAGCCACTTATTAGACTGTTAAATTTAAGAAGAATGTGCTGGGCCTCCCTCCTCAACTTTGCCTTTTCCCTTGGCCACATCTGGTCCATAGGAACTGGTGTCCTGCTCTGGGGTCCCTAGCTGCTGTGGCTGAGTGGATAAATCAGCCCAACTCTAGCCAGTTCTGAGCTGCAGTGTCTTCACATCCATGTGCCCAGAGTCCTACAACCTGGCTCTCATCTCTGACAAACATACATCTCGTCCCTCATGTGTTTGGTCTTTTTTCATAGTTCTTCACAGCATCGAAGTGGCATTTGACAGAACCCCTCAGAATAGTGTGTTCTTGCCGCAGTCTGGCTGGGCACAAACTCATGAGCCACTCAAGCAGGAACAAACTTTATTTTTGAAACTCCCGCCAATGCCCTGTATGCTCCCAGGAAATATGCCGACCTACACACGTGGCATTCTCCTGGACACACACCAACAGGAAATCCCTCCTCTGGAATTCCCTCCTCCCACACTTCCCCAACCAATGGGAACTCTCCAGGAGTCCCATAGCAGGCCGAGGTGGACAGCAGGGGTCTAATATCCATTTGAATGCAGATCTTAACATAATCATATCATCTCAATGACTTGCTGGCGTCACCTTTCAACCAAAAATACCATGCATCATTTTTACTTGTCTATGGCTCTTAGCATGTTCTGAATTTTTACTTTATATCCAAAAGCCAGACCAATTTTTTATTCTCTTGAAAAACAGCATAGATCTTGAGACATCAAGACTCTTCACCTTCTTGGCTATTTACCTCATATTGTGTATTAATGTTATTCATTAATCATAAATTAATTGGCTATCATACAGTCATTGCATTCTTAAAAGGCAAAATATATTTAACAAGTGAAATTATTTACATATAACAGTTCTTTTTAAACATTATTCTGGGGGAGCTGGGGCTGTGGCTCAGGGGTAGAGTGCTTATCTAGCACAGGTGAGGCACCATATAAAAATAAATAAAGGTATTGTGTCCATCTACAACTAAAATATATTCTAAAAAAGCCACTATTTTGGGGAGTGAAACTGAGATCCATGGTGGCCTTGAGGCTGGGAATCACAGCTCTAAACCCTAGAAGAGTCAGCAACAGGACTGTAAGGACAGATTTCATGGCAAATACCTACTATGTTCTACCTGTCTGTCCTTCCACATGGCTTCCACATGGCTCAAAGGCAAGCAGAGGAGCTGCCATTACAAGAGATGCTCTCAGGTGCAGGCTGGGCCTATGGTTGCTGTCCTGGTATGCCACGGCTGCAGGAAGCACTGTACACTGGAAGCTTCAACAACAGAAGCGTATTGCCTCACAGTTCAGGCAACCCAAGGTGTGGGAGGGAGGTGTTGGCAGGGTTGGCAGAGGCTGTGTGGGAAGCCCTGTTGAACCCTCCTTCTGTGGCCTGCACATGGCCTCTGCCCATTTCCCTTCACCTTATCTCCCTCTGTGCATGTTTGGTCTCAGTCCCAATTTCCCGTTTTCATAATGATGCAAGTCATAGGGCAGTAGGGTCTACCTCAATGATGTCACTTAAATTTGATTACCTCTGTAGAATCCCATCTCCAAATCAAGTACCAGGGATTAGGACTCCACGGAGATTGTAGGCGACATCCTTCAACCCCTAAAACCAGGAACAGCTGTTTCTGTCTGGAAGGCTAAGTTCCATGGTGGACCCTGACACTTTATGTGTGTGAAAATATGCCAGTGTGCACAGACCTAATTTGGATGAAATTTATTTGGGCTCTGGGACTGTGTGTGGGATGGAGGAAAGGAATAATGTGTTTTGAGGGAATACCTAAAACTGAAAGAGTAAATGACCTTCCTTACGGCACACCTGGTTAATGACACCCCTCTTTAGGGCCACTCGTGCAACCAGGATAGCAAAGATAAGGAATGCCAGGTGCTGAGCTATCTCTGCAGGCTGAGGTCCCAACCAATGTCCCTTTTCAATAATGACACCCTGCATCCTGTATCCTAAGTAATAAAACCTTGGAGACATTTAGCAACCACGAGAAGAAAGGAATAGATGGCCCCTGACAAGGTCTGAATTTGCTGCTGTTGCTGTGTGGCCTTAGACCTGCGGAGCCTTTCACTAGGCATGTGGAGTTTGGGGCCAGGCCAGAACATGATGCCAGTCCAGCTCTCAGCAGGCTGTTGGCTAGATCGCCCACTTGTTTTGGAGGGCCGGACATGTAGGTGGCAGAAGGTTCCCATGCTCTGGACCCTGTAGGCATTGTCCCTGGGTAAAGGACTTGTTTCCACTCTATTCTGGACCCACCTGCCACAAACAGACCCTACTCACAGATTTTAGGGGTCCAGACGCCTAGCAGCTTTCTCCCTTCCTGGAAAAGCACCCTTGGCTAACTCACCCTTGGCTAACTCAGTGAGGATCCTTCATTCACATCCCTCCACGCCCCTCCACCCGACTCCTAGTCCTGGCTGGGAACATCCCCTCACACACCAGGTTCTGTCTCTGTCCAACTTCCTCCCCAAGGTACTTCATCTTACACTGATGGTCCTGTAGCCACACTCTTTGGGGTTCACCTGCCTGGAGGAGGAACAACCTCCCTCTCCTGCCCATTAACACACAGGGTCTTAGCAAGCCCTGCAAGGCATCGCCCTTCGGTGAAGCCCCGCCCCCGGCGCCCCACCCACTGACCCTGACCACCAAGCCCCGCTCCTCCTGGGCCCTGATCCCCAGTGCAATGCAGCTTGCCCTCTGCACCACCAGGGGACCAGGGAAGAGCGCAGCCCCAACGCTGCCCACAGGGCGACTGTGCCTCAACGGTATCTCCTTGGCTGTGATCTCGCTCCCAAGGCTCCAAGGACACTGTGAAGCCCCGCCCCAGGTCGAGGCCTTGAAGCCCCCGCCCAGATCCCGGCAGTGAAGCGCCACTCCAGGGCCCTCCTCTGTAGTGAAGCCAGGTCCCCCTCACCACTTCCTCAGCAGCAAAGCCCCTCCTGAGAGTCCCTTCCAGACCTAGAGTTCCCGCTCTCTGATCCTGAAGACCTACCCCAAACCCCTCCCCGGCAGTAAAGCCCACCTGGGTCACCTCCTCAGCAGTGACGTCCCGCACCGGGACCCGCCCAGCTGTGAAGCCCCGCCCCTCGCTCCTCAGCGGTGACGCCCCGCTCCAGATCCCTGCCCAGCTGCGAAACCACGCCCCAGGCACCCGCCCCAGCTGTAACGCCCCATCCCGGGACCGCGCCCAGCTGTGAAGCACCGCCCCCGGACCGCGCCCAGCTGTGAAGCCCCGCCCAACTGTGAAGCCCCACCTCAGGCCCCCGACCAAGCTGTAACGCCCCGCCCCAGGCGCGCTCCGCAGCAGGGACGCCCCGCCCCAGGCACCCCCACTCAGCTGTGAAGCCTGCCCTGGTCCCTTTCCTCAGCAGTGACGCCCCGCCCCAGGTCCCCGCCCAGCTGTGAAGCCCCACCCTGCCCAAGGCCCTTTCCTCAGCAGTGACACCCCGCTTCAGGCCCCCGCCCCAGGTCCCCGCCCAGCTGTGAAGCACCGCCCTATGCCCTTTCCTCAGCAGTGACGCCCCACCCTGGGCCTATCCTCAGCAGTGACGCCCCGCCCCAG